ATTATTTTAAGGAGACCTCATTTCTGAAGTTCCCAATGTTTAGCAGATACATCATTGTGATATGAGTAATAATGTTGATAGTAGTGACAGTGATAATGCTAATAATGGTAACTGTAGCAGCCAATGTTATTGCCAAGGTTTGGGAATGTATAAGTGTGCCAAGGATTGTCTCGGAGTGGATTGTCTTCACACATTTTCTACCATGTTTCTATGCTTCAAATGTGCACAGATGCTTTTGCATGATTATGAAAATATAAATTTCTTCAAAAGTTGTAATGAGTTCATTGTAACTTTCGTCATATGGTATATGTTATTTAACTAACCGACTCTAAACCTATACCCACTATTATTTGAAGCCCATAATTCCCCTACTCCCTCCGCAGCAACTTGTTTGAATGAAAAGGATATTTTTCCCCTTGACTGATTAGGAACCTTTGAAAGTGATCTAAGGAACGAAAGGAGCCTGGCTTCTTTTCTTGAGTTATTCTGCCATCTGCTGGTCGTAAACTGGAAAACACCTCATTTTTGAAAACCCCAACCCTCTTCTGAGGCCTCCAGGGATACACATGTGTTCTTTAGCTTTCTTGGGGGCATTTCTCCCATCCTTACCAGTACTCCTCCTTTGACTTTATTCGTACTTGGCTGATTTAAGGTTTCGATGGAAATTATTTTGTTGGGTATCACATATGGTGGAAAATTATTTTGTGTTAAGGGCTTTAAAAAGACTTCACCCACGGACATTGTTGACAAAGGAAATTCTATTGAAACTTCAGTTTCATCCTGCAGTAAAACCAATCCCTTTGCCCCCAGGAAGGAACAAAAGTGCCAAGGGTAGTTTTGGTCTGCTCCCGAAGCATCATCTGCAGCCTTCTAGTGCCTTTGTTTGGGATCTGGGGTCTCTGAGTACCCATGAAGCTTTGACTTCAAAACCTGTGAGTTTTTGGAAAGTGCAAGAAAGGCAAAAGAATAAGTTCATGTTTTAAACCCTGAGCTGAAATGTCAGGCCAGGCTTCCTTTATTGTTAGCTAAAAACAGGATAGATTTTCTACCCAGAATATGTGTTAACTAACTAATTAATTAACTAACTTACCTTCTCTTCCTGGGAAGACATTTCTGCTTGGTAGGGCTTTCTTCTGTGAGGGTTAGGAGCGGGAGGGCGTTATTTTATTTAAACTTTTCTGCACATCAGGGAGAGGTGCCTGATTTCTGTCTGTGATAGGTTGTGACCCAGAAGGAATGTCTTTCTCCTGGCAGTTCCTCAAAGCTGATGCTGTGTTCTTACTCATGTAAGAATGTGTAACTGCTCACTCAGATGATTTGCCAATGAAGGATGAGAGAAAAGCTCTCTTGAGTTCTTAGTAAAGGTCAGAGGTGAAGAGCTCAGAATGAAAATGAAGTTCACAAGATTTAGCTCTAAAATGAGGCCAGTAGGATAGCAGGGGGCAGGAAGAGCAGAGAGAGGAAGAAAGCACATACACACACACATCAGAACAGAAGTTGCTGTCATGCATCACACTGAAATGTTATACACCAAGGCTCCTTTGGGGAGGGGGAATAAATAAGCATATTCGTCTTTTTTTTTTTTTTTTTTTTTTTTTGACAGTGTCTCTCTCTGCTGCCCAGGTTGGAGTGCATTGGCATGATCTAAGCTCACTACAACCTCTGCCTCCCAGGTTCAAGCGATTCTGCTGCCTCAGCCTTCCAAGTAGCTGGGATTACAGGCGCCTGCCACCATGCCTGGCTAATACTTGTACTTTTAGTAGAGATGGGGTTTCGCTATGTTTGCCAGGCTGGTCTCAAACTCCTGACCTCAAATGATCTGCCCCCCTCGGCCTCCCAAAGTGTTGGAATTACAGTCATGAGCCACCACGCCTGGCTCTAAATAAGAATATTCTTCAATTGCAGTGGGACTAAATTTCAGTACAGTAAAGCTCCTTGAAGATGCCAGTGGTGGGCCAGGTCAATGCAGCTTCTGGTTTCTTGATCCCAGAAAGTTGCCAAGGCTGGGTTCTGGCTTTGATTGTTTAGCAACAAGCTGAGCCATCCTAGGCAAATCTGTGACCTGTCTAAGCCTAGGATTCCACATCAGAATGTGATAATATTGATGTAGAATGTATATCATATTTCAGAGTTAATAAAATTTATCAGCCAAGTTTTGTAGCTTACTCCAGGTCCTGCATAATTCTTGTGGGGCGTCTTCCTGGGTAGTTTGTACTTTGGCTGCTGAAAATTGGATTGCTTTTCCCCTGTCAAACATGTGCACGTGTTGTAGCAAATAAATAAGACTCTTACTGAGTTTTGGATGTTTATTTTGTCTCTGACCTCCCTGATAGTTCTGTTTTTCTCTTGTTATATAATCCTATCATCTGCAAATAACTAGTTCTTTGACTCCTTTTTTCTCTTTTTTTCATTATAAAACATTTCAAATATGCAAAGAATAGAGAATATAAGCAGCCCCATTCAGAGCACCTAGCTTTATAAAATCATAAACTACGTTTACTTCAGATGTCAAAATTGATTAAGCATTACTCACTGTATTACTCTTTTTGATAATATTCTTCTCCCTCCCCAGAGGTCATGATCACCATTGTCATAAGTTTGATGCTTTACATTCATGCATGTTTTTACACTTTTTGCATATACTTATGTATCATAAGCATTGTACAGCAGTCTTTTGAATATTTTGAAATTTAGATAAAAGCATACTATATTACATGTGTAGATATATAATTATTATAAATTATGCAACTTGCTTTTTTGTGTAGAATTACGATTTTGAGAATACTCTGTGTTGGGGGAGATGGCTACATAACTCAATTTCATTTAATTCAAATTTTTATATGTATATTTCATAATGTATTTATCTGTTCTCCTTTTGAAGGATATTTAAGTAGTTAATAAACTTTTCTTGCTATTACAAATAAAGTTGCAAAAAGTATTGTCAGGAAAGAATTTTTCTAGGCTATGTACCTAGAAGAGGAATTGCTGGGTGAAAGGCTGGAAACATCGTTCTCCAAAGGGATTGCATTAATTTGAACTCTCACCAGTAGTATACAGTGTATATTTAGCTTATACTGTTCTTGTTCAACTTTGGTATCATTGTTATGTCCTCTTTTTCTTTTCCTTAAAGGAAATTATATAAGATAGGGATTGTTAATTTTTTGAAGGTTTGGTAAACCAGCCTCTATAACCAAGTGAGCCTGCCATCTATGGAGACAATACATTTAGATGACCAATTCATTTTGTAATGGTATTTGTATACTCAGGTGTGGTAGTTCTTCTTTTGAAAAATTATATTTTAAAAGTTTTACAATTTATCAGCATAAAAGTATTCATTGTATTTTCTTAGGATATTTAAAATCTGTTGGATCTGTAATTATTTATAAGTCCTCCTTTTTTGTATGAATACAATTTCCATTAATATTCACTCTTCAGCTCACCTGTTATTTAGAAGTGCATTTTAAGTGTCAAAACACTGTTAAATATTGATAATTTATATATACTTGTGCTATTACCAGATGATGCAGTCTGTATGATATTTATTCTTAGAAATCAAAATGTGTTAGGATTTTGTTTTTGTTGTTGTTAGTTGTATATATATTTATAACCATTATATGTTACTGGTGAATTGAAACCTTTGCCATTATGTAATGTACCCTTAATCCCTGATAGTAATCTTTGTTGTAAATTTACTGTCTGATATTATTTAAATCTCCAGCATCTTTCTGATCAGTGTTTGTGTAACTTTTTCCAATTTTTTGCTTTCAATCTATGTATATTTTTGTAATTAAGTGAATTTCTTATAATTAATATACAGTTAGGTCTTCCTTTCTCCACCTAAACTGACTCTCTCTATTTTAAATTCATGTGTATAGAACATTTATACTTATTGTAATTACTTATATGGTTGAATTACAGCCTATCATCTTGCTGGCTACTTTTTTTT